TATAAAAAGCCCCGACATGAAAAATATGAAATAATTCAATTAAAAAAACTAACGACCTAACTTATAACAAAACAATTTGCAAAAACCAATTATGACAGACATGAACCAACGACAACCACTGAACAACAGGCTTCTGACTTGGGACAGGCACATGCAGAATGTGGCAGGGTTAAACTAGTTTGCTTGCGCTAAATCCTACCTTAACCTGGGACAGTGGTGTAACAGTCCAACATGAGAATAAACTATAAAGTCAGTTGAAAAGGCTAACATCATCTGATCGACACAAAGCAGAAAACATCTAAAGATTTGAGAGTACTTGCAGCTACTGACAGCTAGTTCATAGCTAATAACAAAATAAACATATCATGTATCCAAGACTAAAATTTCAATCAGTACACATCCAGTGGATTTTGTGTAAAGACGTCAATAACAGTTAGAGAAAACCCATGACCCTGTGTAATGCCAAAATATAGGTATCGACAGATTGTAGTACCGTGAATGTGGATACGTTATTACCAATAATATGTAGTATGGTTTTGATTTACTGTTAGCAAAATCAATATTTATATTGACAAAAAGAATATTCAAAGATCCAAATGCAACGTTGAATTGGTAACATTTTAGAATCAGTTTAATTAAAGGATTAATATGTTTACTCGGGTCGTTTTCTAAATTTCTGGGCTCGGTAAACAACATTCCCATAAAAATTAGGATGTGCTTTTCCGTTTGAAATAACTTTTCTACAGGTACATCTAAACTTGCAAACTAAATATGGCAGAATTTAGTTAAGGTTTTAAGTAATTTGTGTAAACGAAATCCCTGGCTTAATAATTTACCAGTAATTCATAGATTACGTTCATTGAGATCCAAAATGTCACTACAGACACGGGCATAGTGAAAGAGTTGTGATTTATAAACACCGTTAGACGGTGCCATAGCAACATCACCGTCGAACAAAAGGACAATTAATGATAGGAAAAGTAAAATAGTCCCCTTTGTCGTAAATTTTTGTGAATAGTTTCTCGTATAAAACAGAAATGTCTAAATCTAGAAATGGACAGTTATTGCTGTTTATGTTTGATTTATTCAAAGTGAGTTCCTTAAGGTAGTTTTCGGCAGTATATTTAGAGAATTCTTTATTAATTAACGAAAAAAAATCATCAAGATAACAGTACGTGCTGTTGAAATTATCAATTAAATCGAATTTAAACGGGTCTTTACTGAGTTTAGCCATAAACTAAGATTATAACAGTCCGATGAGATCAATTTTATCAGAACATAAACTTCTTTGAAAGATGTTCGCCGGTAAAACATATAAGTTCCCAAAGTAACAAAGCCTCAATATGGGTATTTCTCTATGATATTAAAGATTATAAGTCGTTTTGTAGCTTTAATTATCTTTCATAAGGAGAATTCTTTAAATCTGATGTATAGAATCGGCACTTTAGGGTAAATCGCCTATTAGGAGTCAAGTGACAATTTCAGCAATGATTTATTTGTCTTGGTTATTTTTGGATTTATAGTCTCTTTCTTTTGATAAGGATATTCAAGATAAATAAATGCTTAATTTTATGAGAATTAATAATTCAGGGGCAATAAATCAAAATAGGTTTTGAATGTATCTTATGAAAAATCAAGATGATCGGTACTTTCTGCCAGTTTTGTTCTGACTGTTCCAATTTTGATGATATATATCAAAACTGTAGTTTTACCTTTATGTACTAGTTCACAGGTACTGATCATGTTTTCCGGCTGATAGTTAGTAATGAGGATCTCAGTAGTGGGACATGCAATACGCAACACTGCTTCAAATGTAAAAAAACATACAATTTCGCGGCTCAAAAGGGAAATTTTCTTTGAATTTTGTTTTAAGGATTTATGACAACGACGACCGACCAGTTATTGATTAAGCTTGCATATCCCTGAACAACTAGGTGAGCTAAAGAGGAATATTCTTTGAATCCAGACAATTTAAAAAGATTTTGAGTACATTTAACGAAGTTGTACTACTGATACCTGATTTTGATGAACGCAAAACATATACAAATTGATGTATTTTTCCCAGATAGGGGTCTTCGGAAAAATTATCCAATCGAATATGAAGGCTAGTAATTGATCATCGGACACTGAATTCATGTTGGTTTATGATCAACCATTTGACTTGGAAGTGGGAAGAGGACAAGATGAATGTGCTAAACTGAAAATAAATTATATTGACCAAACAACACGAACAATAAAACGAATAATATGCCCCACGAACTGCAGGAAATTAATACAAATTAGAAAAAAATTTATTGCGGCAAAGATTCAAACGTTCGATGTTGACATTTATCAGTTCCAGGTTGACATGTCTCACTTCCAGGTTGACATTTCTCTGTTCCAAGTTTATATTTCTCTGGATTGACATTTGTAAAATTGGAAGTGTGCAGTGTCAACTTGGAATAAAGAAAATTCATAATGAAAATACAAATGAAAAAAAAAGGAATGTTCTGACTTGACTTTCGTACATTCTTATAAAGGTGTTTGCAGTGACAAAATGTACAATCTATCGCATATAAACCAGTGATTCTGCCCTTGTCCTACAACTTGATATTGTTTTTGTGAACATTTGAATTTTGAGTGAAAAACACTGGTATTATGTAATAGTATAAAGGCACTCCATAAAGCGGCTTGTAATGGTAAAGATCAAAAGCCTGAAGCTTTTACTTGATAGATACAGTATCTATTAACCAGATTGTAAATCACAATTGTTAAAGTAGTGGTATATTTTTTTGTTAATTACCATTTATCAAAACATAAGAATGTAACTATCTCTCTCTCTCTCTCTCTGTATGCGTGACACTGAAGATTACCAATTATATTTATACACGTGTATTGATTGTATTCATCATATAATGACAAATAGAGATAAGGAACAGTAAAATTTAAAGTGGTTTAGTTGCACTATCAATAAAATGCCAATGATGTTTCATATGGCAAATATTGCACATAGAAAAAGCGTTGAGTACGTTGTATCATTGATCAGAAGGTTTTTCACGTCGAATTAAACTAAGTTGAAATATAGATACATTCAAACATTTAGATATTGATGTCTTTTCAAATTTAAGACAAGGATTTGTATAGTGAGAAGGATTGGAATCTCGCGGTATATCGACACTTCTCGCGTATCGTGAGATGTTGCGTACTCGCCACTATAAATTTATACGCGCCTGTTAGTAAATATCCGGTTGAATAGCGTGTATTGCAAGATAATCATTTCTGACTTGTTTGTTGTTAGGTTTAGTTTGTTTTAGCATCTTTGATCAATATTTTGTTTTAATTCGCAAAGATATCACGATTCCTTCTGAGTATGTCATATTGAGGACCTCTCTCAAGCCGGAAAATAAACTTTGATAGTCGTTTACATTTGGCAGTTGCCGAAAATTATCGTAATTATGTTGTTGTTTTTCTTGTGATCGTAATTTGAGTAGCCCAACACATCTTTATGATACTAGTAATAGCTGTTTAAGATAACCCCAAAGAGAAGGTCAAAACAATTATTTATTTTCGCAGCTTGTCTTTGTCCTTTCTTCTTGTATATGAAACTGACCCAACTACCACAAGAGTCTTCAAGAATAGTCAGTCTCCATACAATATCTGTATGTTGATTTTTTTATCATAGTTAAGTTATGAATAAATTAAACAGAATCAATATACATGAAAGGTCCGCAATAAATGAGAAATGAAATGAATTCATTGATTTTCAAGAACTCTCGTCTGTTCAAACTGCAAATACATGAGTGTAAACTGGAACTATAGAGGTTTGAGTTCATTGAAGGGCTGGCAGGAAGTTAAAAATAAGTTCATGATTATAAACAACAGTAAAATAGAAAGTGAAAAGATATGGAGTAAATGTACATGTACATGGGACTAAATCGCACACAATACACAGAAAACATAGAAAATTATCAATGAACATGGCTTTTATTCCTGTTCTTCATCTTGACAGTTGATGTAGGGTCTTCAACAATGAACATATCATTCATACCCTAAAATCAATGGTTGTACCCATGGCAAGTACAAGTAAATTTCCCTTGTGAAAAACATGAGTAACACAAGCAACTAACAGCATTTTACGAATAACTTTGATGGGTTATCTGCTTATTGTGTCATACACCCTACTCATAATTTGTTTCACATTTTCACGTTGTGGCCTTTTAGAGCCAACTATACAATATGGGTTTTTCTCATTGTTGAAGGCTGTACAGTTGCCTATAATTGCTTACATCTACTTCATTTGAATTTGATGGATAGTTGTCTCATTGGCATTCATACATCTCCTTATTTTTATATTGGTAAAGATTTGACATTTTTTATTACAATGTAGCATTAAGAGCATATATAAGTGGACAATCATTTCATTTTTAGGGAGTAAGGCAGGAGGATTTCTCTTGGACAGATTATTCACAAATAGTCAATATTATTTCATTTTTATCTGTTGCTCAGATTGTTTATGTCACATAGCTTCATTTTCACTTTTTTACATAATTTTTCATGCTTAATGTGAGGTAGAAATGCAGCAGCTTATTCATTTTCATCTTGAACGGGCAACATTATTTCTTCTACTAATTCTCACCAAGCTAAAATATTCATTCCCACATCACCCCACCTTCATCCCATTGACCCAATAAATCCATTGGTTATCCACTTTCAAAAAGTACCTACATTGTACCTAGAAAACCTATCTTAGTGAACACTGACCTGTCTTCGTTTACATTCTTGTCCTTTGATCTCCTGATAGTTGTCTTAATAGCAATCGTACCACATCTCCTTATTTTTATACCCACATGAAATATTTTTTTACATTCCTTATGAACCAATGCAAGCATGAAAGACCAAAAAATGGAACATTGTTACAAACTAAACTATCCGGGAACAATTAACCACAGAAATGCTGGTACCTGCTATGACATGTATGAAGACATCATGTATTCTGGATGTCTTGTAATAAAAGAGGTTCGTTCTTGCTGACAAATTTTATTCACACACACAAAGCAATATTAAAACATGTTAATTTTCCAAGTCCTTTTTTAATTCCATTCATGACACTATTTGAATAAATATATAGTCACTGGTTGGATTTTACATATTGATAATGGTGATTTCATACTCTGGTTAACTTCCGTCTTAAGTTTGTCACCGGAGCTGACACAATTTGTATTTGATTTTTTGGTACATAAAGTACGTTGTATCCTCTGCGACGTGTACATGTACATCATAGAAAATACATTCTACAAATGTATGTCTTCTAGAGGCTTGGTTTGATGCCTTTCCCTGTATTGCATGTAGTATGAGTGATCATTTTGTAAGTCACAATATGGTGTTATTTCTTGCACTTTCACCACAAAGAAACATATACATGTATATCTCCTTTAACTTTGGTATCCTGAAAATAAACATTTTTTTTTGTAAGACTAAAATACATAAAATATAATTAGGGTTTCCCTGACATTTTCCATATTATAAAATTATAATTTGAATCCATTTAATTTCAAAGCAAATAAAATAAAACATTACATGTAAAACAAATTTACAAATTAAAAACGAATAAGAGTCTAAAAATTACATTTTGTGGCAGTACTAGTACTAGTGCTGAAAGCTGTCCGAGCTGGCTAGAATTCAACTAAGAATTTCTGTAAAAAATATTAAGAGATGTGGCACACTGGTATGATTCTTGCACAAATTCTGAATATAATGATTTTAAAGTAATTCTGGTATCAGTATTATTTTATATATTTAATAATGTAGTTACCTGATTATTATCCACAGCCATAACCAACTATTGTCTTCAGAGAGAAGAACTATTAAAACACAAAATATCTTTTACATCTGAAAGTGAAAAACTTAATGAAAATATGATGCTAAACAATTATACACAGTAACTGAAATTTTATTACTTATGTATCAAGAGTAAGCTACTCTCCTAGCTGTCCATATATAAAAGCTAAATAATTATTTTTTATCAAATAACATTTAGAAAATTTTGCAGTAACTTAAAAACGAATAATTGGGCACTCGTCACTGCTGGGTTATGTATAATCTGTTACTGTTTAAACCAAGTAAACAGATGTAATTTACATGTTCACTATAATAATGCTGGGATATGTATTTTATTGAAATTAATCCAGTTATCGTGGGTTTTATGGTATACATATATATATATATATATGAACATTAACAAAATAACACAGTTCATAATACATCACAAAAATAATAAAATACAAGACATGAATTTATGTAGAATATGGAGTCTGGTCAGAAAAAGTTCAGAATTTTAAAGTCCGCATTTGCACATTATGCATCATATACAAGTACATAACCGGTTGATTGTATTGGGGGTAACAAGGATTAATTATGTACTTTAGTAGACATGAAGCCATCCCAAGAATATCAAATGTTTGACCATGACAACATAAAATTTTTGACTATAATTTTCTTTATATTTCAAATGATGAACCCAGACGCCCAAGTGTCCTGACAATACATGTATGAAGAGTTTTTAGTAGTGAGCTGAGAGTTTATAACTGCTCCTTAATGAAGTGCCTAATTTTACTTTCAAATTTTCCATACATGTACATGTGAATGGACCGTTCTTTTCTTTTTTGGTTTTTGTTTATGAGTGTTAAGAGATTTTGTGTATTGTGGAACACTTTTTGACAACAAAGCCTGAAAAATAGTCTTTCATAAAATTTCTTTTTATTCATTTGGGCAGTTTAGCCTGAGAAAAATTATACTGGTCTGGGACGAGCGCTTGTGATTTATCCTGAAGACGGCAATATATATTTTTTATTTCATTAACTGAATTAGTCGGACTGAAATCGTACCCTTATCCCCCACACTTTTAAGCACATATATACACATATACAAATGTAACTAATCTCCTGTTATCTTTGGTACAGGCCTGAGGTATACCAAAAAATTGGAGAGATAGACAGTCTTAATATATGATCATATATGATAGTAAGAACACGCCTTTAACTTGTAAATTAATAGTGTCCCTATATTTTCACTTTATACTACTGCCAAAATATGCTATGACCTATGACAGTAGCCTATGTGCAGTATGACTGTATGATATACGCAGTTGATGTGGTGAACGTAAGCAGGGTTCTGTAAACCCTTGAAGGCATAAAGTAATTTCCCACTAGTACATTTTCATATCAATTGTAAAGGAAAAAGCAATACCTTTCGGTGTAAATGTCCATGAAACGACAGATGCAAACTAGGGACTACAGGAAGTTTATTTGTGTTAATTTGGTCCCGCCCATAATAACGACTTTTGGATGCATCTAGTAACCGAAGCGGTATTTTGAAAATATGATAATAGCACACGTTATCATTTTGCAAGCTAAATGTTTTAGAAAGTACAACAAATAAACTATGATAAATTGATATAATTACGTTTTAGTGTTGAAATCGACCGATTGTGGCACTTTATTGATATTTTATCAGTCCACCCTTTTTGCACGATTTTTGACGGTTGGTCTGAAATAACCATTTAAATAACAACAACGAAAGCTTCTTACACTATATAGTTTATAATATGCACGCACCACACACATTTATTTCATATAATTCAAGTTTCTCAACACAAATCCTTATTATGAAGGAGGAGATTGAGATTAAAGTTGTAGTTTGGACCGCCTATTTGGGCGGGATTATTACGATGACCAACAGATAAAATGCATAGTATATTTAGATGCAGACAATGTGTTTTGTAAAGATATAAACTGTTTTTTGAATCAGAACTGTCATAAACTTACACTTAAAAGTATCACATCATGTAATTTTGTTATATTATACTTACAAAACGCCGAGTTTATCTGGAAATGACATAAATTCAATTTTTAATGGTGGACGAAAAACGACTAACGAGATGCATCACGGTAAATCTAACAAAATCTCATCATACTCAGCTTATTTCAATACAGGCAATGCAAATAGTCCACGAGATTCCAATCCGTCTCACTATACAAATCCTTGATTAAGATTATATATTTATTTGTAATTGCTTATTTAATCTATATGTGCATTTTCATTTTCAACTTGTTTTGTTCTTTTGAATTTTTTGGTATGATTGTCAATGAGACAACTCTCCACAAGAGACCAAATAACACAGAAATTGACAGCCTTCAACAATGAGCAAAACCCATATTGCATAGACAACAAACGACAACCACTGAAGTACAGGCTCCTGACTTCGGACAGGCACATACAGAATGTGGCGGGTTCAACTAGTTAAATGGGGCCAAGTCCTCCCCCTTACCTGGGACAGTTGTGCAAGAACATAAAACGAGAACACACTATACAAAATAATAAACGAAAAACAAATATGATAAACAGCAACAAACAACAATCACCACTCAAGTACAGGCTCCTGACTTGGGACAGGCACATTTAGAATATGCCGGGGTAAAACTAGTTTGAAGGCATCAACCCTCCCCCTAACCTGAGACAGTGGTGTAACAGTTCTAAAATAAGAACAAACTATAAAAATCAGTTGAAAAGAGCTTAACTCATCCGATGGATACAAAGCAGAAATATACAGACAGGACGTGGCAGGGTATTTATACATCCCCACAACAAAAAGACACCAAGTACAGATCTGAGAGTACTCGCAGTTACTGACAGCTAGTTCAAAGCAAATAACAATTAATAAAACAATCATGCATCTAAGACTGAAGTGCTACCTTAACTCACTGAATTCGTAAAAAATAGATTCACCATAGATACCAGGATTACAAAAACAAAATATTCTTAAAAATGAAATTTTCTAAAAATAGAAATAACGGTGTCTTGTTTATTGACTGTTAGTAAGTATTTCCCGAGATTGGGAGGATGCATTGTTTTATACTGAAAGCCTATATGTTGCTAAATAAAAACATTGTCCAAGTGATACGATATATATGTGGTCAGTAAATTCAATATCGTATAAGGTCACTAGCAGACTGTGTAACGAATTTATCTTACCGACTATCTTAACATATTGCATTTAGACTAGTGGCATATCACAGTGATCAAGTCTTCAATATTATGAACATACTTCCATTGGTCTATACAAAAACAAATGCCAACAATAACCACTTGTTAGCTTTACTGTGTTTTCTGCATTTATTTCCAGTCGTTCATCATCAATTTCTTCATCTGTTGGATGGATGAAACGTTTGAGATTTTTCTTCAACGTCATGTTGTTTTTACAAATTGACGTAACACTGCTACTAACCCAATCTTAAAATAAAACACGCCAACTAACCCCATTTTAAATATAGAGGTCTCCACGCGGTCGTTTTTAACCAATCATTATCTTAGAAATGCATAGGAGGTAAAATAAAAGCGTGTATTACCTGTATAATTATACTGATACACCGCTTTTATATACTAGATGAATTATAATATCATGGATTATTTCTGTTTTTCGTAATTTAGTTTTTTTATAGTTAGGTTAAAAGAAATAGTGTATTTTGTCATTTTATAAAACTCTTGTCATGTTTCCCGATTCATATAATTTTATTTGTTTATCAGTAATAACCGTACGAAGATATATAAAGGACAAATCATTTACTAACACAAATTGAATAAACCTTATAATAAAAATAAACGTCTTGATTATATCAATGTACATCTTAGTAGATGAATAAAACATTTTTTTTTTAGATATGTCAATTTTGACATTTGTAGGACGTCAAAATGATGTTCAAATTGTTACGCTTACATTACGTCAACGTAATATCATGATAATTCGTCTGCTATAATTTTTTTATATATAATTTCAAAGAATTGAACAATTTTTTTATATTTAAAATTTCAGGGACAGAATATAAGTCCTGATTATCATTCCTCCTTTAAGTGTTAGATAAAGTAAGTTTTTTTCAGGATTTCTTAATTTAATGTTGGGAAAAATTCCGGTACATTCGAATTTCGAATTCTTTGTAAAATATAAAACATAATTATTGATATTTTATCTGTCTGGCGCTTTCTGTACTGTATTTACCTTAACCCAGAACGCTCAAGTCAAAGTATTTGAAAGAATAGGGTGCATAAGCGTCGAAAAACGTGACGAACTTCATGCCCAAAATGGACCTTAAATTATAGCCATATCCATCTTCGGTTAGCTTGATTTAGAGTTTCTAAATAACTAATCAATTTATTAACGAACAATTTCTTCTTCTATAACAATAAAACATTATTTGAATATATTTCTTTTGGTATTTCAGGGTAAAACAGCATTGCATTGCGCGGCAGAATTTGCTACTACTGACATCATCAAAGTATTAATTGAGTATGGCTGCAAACCTGATCAGATAGATAACTCGGTAATATATGTGTTATGTTCACACAATTTGAGTAATGTTCGGTTTTTAATGTTCCTCAATTTTGTTTTTGATTTGTTCTCCCAAATATTTTGATTGAAGTGCGACTAATGAGACGTTTTTGTTTTCGAGACACTCTTCTGGCCTTCCAAGCTATAAACCTGTATCCATTGTGAGTTGTTTCAAACACTGGGTCAAAACCACTGATGGTGAAAGGTTTGTCCCAGATGGTATCACCAGCAGAATAGTCAACACTTTTGTTTGCCATGAAATAATATGTTTGTTTAATTTATTTGTGCATTTTCATTTTCAACTTGTTATTTTCTTTTGAATTTTGTTATGTGGTTTCTCATGATTATAACCTTAGTTTCCAATCTTCCTTTTTTGCTTCAATTGGGTTTGAATATTGCTGAATTATTTGAGCAATATAAATAACCACATAATGTTTCTGATTTAAAAAAGAAAAAAAAATGCAAAGGTTGCATTAAAAATCATTTATCCAATCAAACACACCAAATAGCATCAGCAGGGCTATAAAACGACGAATAGAAAACCATCAAAAACAAAACATACACAAATAACTTGAGATAGCATTGCATGAATATCACCCTAATCTGGTTATGAACTCAAATGTTCCGGAAGAGTAAGCAGTTACTACTCCACTTGTGTCACTCATCGTGTTAAATATTCAAATAAAGGTATACACAATAAAGAAAGAAAGGCGCATTCAGACTTCAAAAGATACATGTTCCTAAGTAAAACACAACATACATTTGTCACATTGTTTATTTTCCAATAAGCTGTTTTGTTAGCATCATTTAACTTTGATCCATTAAAATTTGTTTTAGTTGTTCGTTTTTTTTTTCTTGCTGTTGGCAAAGGTTTATTAAAAAAATAATAAAAGCAATTACCAAAAAAAAAAATTAGAAAATACAGATCGAAGCCAACACTAGTATGTCTAATATACTTCTTTTAACAACTTGAGCATGTTGCGTCATAAATCCGATTACCATAGGCGTTTAACAATTAATTCTTGAATTAAGTTTAAATAATCGTCCGATTTGAATGTCACATATGATCTTTCAAAACTGTATTCACATGTTCGTCATCGTATTTCTTTAATTCGATGGCTTTCGAAATGTTTGCATATTCAAAGTCATGGAAAGAACGCCAAAATATACCGAAGTAAATTCCTATTTCCTTTTAAGTTTTGGTAATGTGTATTAATTTGATTTTGATTTCGATAGAAACAAGGGTCACATCGAAAACACCTTTTTGCTTTATGTTTGCTTTTGATAAAGTTGCAAAATGGATAGAGATCCACCGTGGGTTTGGCTACAAATGTAAATGGTCTGAATTTTACTTGATATTACTCGACCCAATCTTAACCATACTCGACTGTACTGATTTGTACTTGACCCTTATCTTTGCCATTGAGAAAAGTCTTAACAATTACTCGATTAGTATTAAACAGTCTTAACCCATTCTAGACCTGTACTCGACCAGTTCTCGACCTATTTTTTTCAGTCTGAATCATACTCAACCAAAGGTCTGAACAATACTCCACCAGTCTGAACCATACTTGACCAAATAACCTCTACTTTGTTTTTAAATTTTAACTGACATGACACCAACCACATTTAAGAAAAGATATGTTTACAGAATTTTACATCCTTACATAATTGTCACATTTATCAAATCTAGATAGTCAAATTATCTAATTTTTAAATTTTAATTTTTGGTAAAACAAAAGATTGAAAAACACACCTGTACTGAGTGTAATAAAACCTTATTAAGATGCTTTTTGTTTGCCATGTGTTTTTTTTAACAAAAATTAATCATAGTTAATTCACCTAAATTCTTGAATAAAAATGACATTAGGTTTCATGGTTACATTCAATAGATATATAACTATCTTTTTTAACTTACCTGACAACAGCCAAAAAATCCCTGCAATTGTTTAACCTTATATCAGAAAGTTATCTCTTCATATTATAATTTATATATATATATGTATCTAGTAGGGATAAATTAAGAAATGATTACAATTTTTCTTCTGATCAGGGGTAAACTATAAAGTAATACCTCTGCTTGGGGCAAACTTATTTAAAATAGCGCACCTGGTCAGTATGTAATGCATTCTAAACATCATCCTGTAAAACTTCATAAGGACTTTTGAATTCCCTAGACAAATACATGAGTTTAAAGAAAAAAAGAATATTATTTTTACCTGTAAAACACACCTGTACTGAGGTAAATTTAACCTAATTAAGGTGCTTCTTGTATGTCATGTCTTTAATTTTGACAAAATTTAATTAATCAACCTAAATTTTTATTGAAGCTTTGATAGACAATTTCTTTTATAAAAGGTTTTCAAGGATTGCTATGGAAGTTCTATAATATTAGATTCTTGGTGTTACAAAACAAGTGTGTCAGATTTTAAATTTATTAAGTTGCTGTATATACAAAAAAGTGTGTTATTTACTAAACTTGACTGACACCATAAATTTAGAATGTAGGACAGAAAGTCAAAGGACAAAAAGTCATGGACAAAAAGTCACGGACAAAAAGTCATAAGACAAAAGGTCACAATTCTGTTCAAGATTATTTTTCTTTAAATTAGAAAATGCTTATTTTTAAAAAACATTTTTGTATTTATCTTGAACTATAATATATAAAGCAATTTTGTAAACAAAAAAGTATTCTAAAAAATTCAATAATGATCAAATAATTGTTAAGAAAACAATTAGTCAAAGTTGCTTGGTACTTTTGAAATGGCTTCATGGTGCCAAGAAATATATCCTTAGTATGATTTAAATTAGATATATCTTCATTTATCAACACTTATGAACAATTTCCTTAACTGTAACATTAATAAATGTCATAAAAAGAAATTATTTCAAGATCTTTCTCTTATATATTCAAATAAATATAAACAAATTATTTGTTACTTTCGTCCTGTGACTTTTTGTTCTATCTATTTTTTCACTTTCTGTCCTTTGACTTTCTGTCCGTTAACCTAATTTTTACCAGGTTTAAGATAGTGTATAAAATTTTCCAGTACCTTAAAATATATCTGAAACATTCAAAAAGTTTTGAATAACATTGAAGAAATTTTATTAATAGAAGGAAGTTGTATTAATCTAAATGTTATATTAAATACATTTTGGATTTCACATTGTTGTTCTAATTACTAAGCCATTGGAAATAACTAAAAATAGTTCCTAAATTGATGAAATACAATAGATAGATACAGTAATAGGTCTAGGTTGGTTAAAACTTGGTCGAGTATGGTTCAGACTAGGTCGAGTATGTTTCACACTAGGTCGAGCATGGTTCAGACACTTATAAAATGGTTAAGTACTGGTCGAGTAAAGGTCGAAAACAAGTTCAGACTGTTAAGTATGGTTCAGACTAAAGTCGAATAATACCAAGTAAGTTTCAGACCAATTCAGATTGGTCGAGTAAAAAACAGTACAGTCGAGTACAGATAAAGGCCATATCAGACTTTTACTGGTTTGTAGTGAGTGGTGTTAACCCCTGAGTCAATTAATTGTAAAACACTAATTGTTTTATAATGACCTTAATAACGATTGTGTTACCCTCACCAGATTCTTTGAACACGATTGTGTCTTCATTTTTCGCTTGTTTAAAAGATTCATTATCCTTTTTAGAACGTTTTTGTTTTACATTAGTCAGTATAATATATGATGTTGCATCATTTTTGGCAGTTATTGTTATAATCTATATTTTAATCTCTATTTCATGTATGGAAATTCTTTTTCTTTTGACTACAGATTTGTTGTTGTTTTAGAGGCTTTCCCCCAAGAGTTGAAAAGAATCAGCATTTACCAACAATCGTTTTATCTTAAAAAGGTCGGGTTTGTTCAAAAGTTTTCCTAGATATAATGTTCAAACTCATAAATTCGTAAGGTGTTTCTTTTAGAAATATATGAATTCGGGTTTGCTGGAATTTGATGCGACTGTCATACAAGTGAGATGTTTAGCGCTATAAAACCAGGTTCAATCTACCATTTTCTACATAAGAAAATACCTGTACCAAGGCAGGTATATGACATATGTTGTCTATTCGTTTGATGTGTTTGTGCTTTTGATTTTGCCATTTGGTTTGGGACTTTCCGTTTTGAATTTTTTCTCGGAGTTAAGTATTTTTGTGATTTAACTTTTTGCTTAAATATGATTCTAGTTCCTCTGTATTAATTCAAATGATTGAATTTGAAGCGGAAATCCATAGGTTTTCATTGTCTATGAGTTTGGCGGAAATAGCTTTCGTAGTCTTACAAATAAAATAATTCGTAAATCCTGCACTAATTGAGTAATTTTTAAACTAGAAAACCTTCATCTGACTTTTTGTAACTGCTAAATGTCTCCTCATAGAATGCTTAGACCTTAAAGCTTATTTCCGTCTGTGTGCACTTGTTTCAGCAGAAATATTCCACTTCGTAACTATTCTGTTATCATTCGCATAATTTCTGTACGTTTTCTTTGAGATTGTCTAAACACATATCAGATTGTTTTCCATCATATTTTTTAAACTAAGCTTTATTGTACGAACTTCAGAGAATAGTGGGCTATCAAAGGACCCGACATGAATAATGTGAAACAATGTACCTCTTTAGATTTTTTTTCCTCGCTGCATTTTTTTTTCTATTTTATACTTTCTTTGTTTACCTTCATAGTTATATAAATTACTATGCATTGCCACATAACAATGATAAGACCATTCATTTATCTTGTGGTCAGAGATTAACAACTGGACATTTGATATTAACAGATGATTGAAAGATTAGCTCCTCTCATATGCTCTTTTATATTAAGTATTTGCCATGTGCTTTTATTTTCCTATTTGATTATTAAATTACTCCCACTTGTGACATGATAATGACTGGGATTTTTACAACGTGTTCAGATTGATACATTTTAAAAAATAATGTAAAAGAAAAATATTTCACTAACAATCATTATAAGACTGTAGTGCTACCTTAACTTACTGAAGTCGTACAAAAATAAATTCACCATAGATACCAGGATTACAAATACAAAATATTCTTAAACATGAAATTTTCTAAAAATAGAAATAATGGTGTCATTTTTTATGGACTGTTAGTAAGTATTCCCCGAGATTGTGACAATGCAACGTTTTATACTAAAAGTCTATATGCTGCCAAATATAAGGGTGTATTACCTGTCAAATTATACTTTACAACGTTTTATATAAATGACATATATATACAATATCATGGATTTTTCTGTGATTTTTGTAGTTAGGTCAAAAGAAATAGTGTCATCTTTCATTTTAATGGACTTTTTAATGTTTCCCGTTTCAGATCTATTCATTTTTGTTATCAATAATATCCTTACGAACAAACCGTTTACTTGCTTGTATCGGTGCAAATCTTACATCTTATCTAAATGGATAAAACAGTTTATATTTATAGAATAGGTCATTTATGGTAACTATGACATTTGTATGACGTCTATATGATGTTCAAAGTGCTACTCTTAAATTACTCAAATGTAACATCATGCTCATTCGTTTACATTAATCATGTAATATATAATTTTAAAGACTTACAATTTCATTCAATTTGAAATATCAGGGACAGAATATAAGTCCTGACTAATATTCCTCCTATCTGATGTTAGTTAAAGTAATTGTTTTTGGGCTTTCTAAATTAAATATTGGAGAAAAGAATACAGGATATTTATGTTTCGAAAATTCTTTGTAATTTATGAAAAAAGAATTATTCATATTTTTCTGTCTGAAGCGCTTTTCTGGGTTTACATTCACCAGGAACCCTCAAGGCCAAATATTTGAAAGCATAGGGTGTATTAATGTCAAAACTCGGGACGAGCTCTATGACATAAGTGGACCAAACAATCTAGCTAAAATTTATCTTTGGTTAATTTTTCCTGAGGAAATTGGATTCTAAGTTTCCAAATAATTTCTTAATTTATAATTGGACAATTTCTTGATCCTAAACAATAAACACTTATTCTAATATATTTTTTTTTTTTGCATTTCAGGGTAAAACAGCATTGCTTTACGCTGCACATTTTGGTAACGCTGACACCATCAACGTATTACTTGAGCATGGCTGTAAACCTGATCAGAAAGATAATCTTGTAATACAAGTGACATATAAAAATAAGAAGGTGTGGTATGATTGCCAATAAGACAACTATCCACCGAAGTCCAAATGAAGTGGATGAAAGCAATTATAGGTAACTGTACTACCTTTATCAATTAGAAAAACCTATACCGTATAGATATGTTCATTTACTTTAAATGAACAATTTCTAAAATATTGAATCATTTGAAACAGCTAGATTTTTTAGCTTAATAGACAGTATTAGACATATTTCAGACAATTTTTGAGAATTTTTCGCTTTTTTTATGCATTTCAATTTTGTCTTTTATTTATTCCTCCAACTATTTTGATTAAAGTGCGACTAATGAATATTTTGTTATCGAGATGCGCATCTGGCTTCAAAATTATAAGCCTGGTATCCTAAATGAGTTTTTTTTTTAAAACTAGGTCGATGCCACTGGTGGATGACGTTATGTCCCAGATAGTATCACCAGCCGAATAGTCCACCCATTAGTGTTGCCATGTGCTATCATATATATTGATGTGTTTATTTACTTTAAATTTGTTGTTTATAAAATGCTGGACTTGTCGCAACGCCAAGTTTTTTTTCTAAGTTTAAACATATTTTAATTACACAAAGAAAAATGGATTAGACACAAGTTACCCATACTCATGACGTCCGCTCCGAATTACAATGTATAACAATACCATGTTGCTATGAGTATGCAATATTTCAAACAATACAATACTTTACGAGTCTAGCTATTGAAAAAGGATTACAAAAATGATAACTGAAAAATTGATAAAGATGATGATTTGAAAGTACCGCAAATACACTTTTCAGTACCATATGAAAAGATATATTTTAAATCTGTTGATAAATTATAATGCATGTTTGATTATCTGGACGTATCGTTCATACGCGAAGTTCGAATGACCAGATGTTACCCGGTTTTTGGTGGGGTTCGTGTTCTTTAGTCTTAAGTTTTCTTTGTTGGGTTTTGTGTAGTGTTTGTCTTTTCGTCGTTTCCATTTTTAGCCATGATTTTGTCAATATTAAAATAAGAAGATGAGGTATGATTGTCAATGAGACAACTATCCACCAAAGTTCAAATAAAGTGGATGTAAGCAATTATAGGCAACCGTATAGCCTTATACTATAAGAAAACCCCATACCATATAGTCGGCTATAAAAGGCCTCGACATAAATAAATATGAAACAATTCAATTGAGAAAACTAACAGCCAAATTTATAACTCAACAATTTATGAAAAACAAATATGACCGACATGAACCAACGACAACCACTGAACTACAAGCTTCTGACTTGGGACAAGCACATCAAGAATGTGGCGGGTTTATACATGTTTGTGAGCGCTCAAACCTGTTATTTCAGAGGCTTTTCTCTATGAGTTTTTAATACACAATCGATTTTCTCTTTTGATAATCGGGTTTGTTAACCTTTGAAATTGAAGTAAAACTCTCATATTTGCATACGAATTTTCAAATTGTTTATGATGAAATCTTTAAATAATGTTTAAACGCATAAAAGTTTGGTCATAAGGTACTTAGCTCTACTGTTTACACTAAATCTCTTGAAATGTTTGTTTCTTGTGGGAGTAGATTAGCATGGGTTTGCCTAAATATGATTCTAAATCCTCTGTATTAATTGAAGTGTTTGAATTTGAGGCAGAAATCCGTAGGTTTGTACTGTTTATGTATTTGTCGGAAATAGCTTTGTGTTTCTAGGAACACATTGTTTGTAAATACTGTTGAATTTTGAAGCTTGAATACCTACGTCCGACAATTTGAGAGTACTTTATGTCTCCTCTTAGGACTTGTAGACTTTAAAGTTTATTTCCTACTTGGTGCACTTATGGTGGATAATTTTACATACATATTCCGCTTGTTTTTGGGTTTATATTTCTTATGGTATCATTTCGAATAATTTCATTCGTTTTCTGCATGATTACCTTAACCCCAGTTTATTTGTTTTGAAAAAATCCATCTATGCATCATATTGTTCAAATTGAGCTTTATACACGGACCAGTTCAAACAAGGAGTTCAAATTTATCTTACTCACTGAATTGTTTCTGAATAACGGTGTCATTTTTGTACAGTTGGGTGCTGACCAAGCATTACATGTTAACAGGCGGACAAAGTTAACGCGGCGTTCACTCACGTGCACTTCATGCGTTTTCTTTTACGTTTACCTCCGCGTTAACGTGAAAATGGTGCGTCATCTAATTTTGTTGGACGTAAACCCAGTATGCGCGTTAACACTCTATACAAAATAAGTCAGACGAGAGAGAAATTTCTAATTTAAAACCACTAATTCATTGATCATAAATTACTGATAAATCTGTCAGTATCTAATTAAGTAGCCACACTTTACATGGATTATATTTCATATTATGACCGCCATCTTTAAGGATAGGTTTTCCCTCTAGATATATTTATCTCCAAATGTAAGATGATATATTTATAGTCACAAAACAAAAACAAAAGATTCTGAAAAAAATGGTTTCCTGAAGATGAACTTAATTAAGGTAGGAATTTATAATTTAATCCAATTGTCAATACTTTAAATTTTCTGTTTTTACAAAAATATATATTAATGGGTCATTATAATGTAACGATATCTGCATATATATATATATTTATACATACATTTTGTATGTAATATGACATATTTATTAAAACAATTTGAATACATGTATGATTTCAACGAGTATACATTGATATCCTCCAATATCTTCCTTAACTTATTAATACTCTTCTTAAAAAGATAGATTTTTACATCATTATTTGTTAGTTTTGAATTGTAGAAATATGTTCACATTTAAAGACTTGTAAACCTGTAAAAAATAAGGAATTACAAATAATTTACTATACATTGACCAGTTCTACAACTTCATAAACGAAAGAGTAACTTTAGATGATAATTGTAAAATAAATCGATCAAATTTTGTAAAGGAGTTAAAACGACACAAAGAAGGCATTAAATCCCTGAGTCATGGTAATGCCATTACTATTTCTTCAGCAGTCAGCTTCATTTTCAGTCACTTTGATGACTACCGAATTTGTCATGAAATTGGACGTCAATTATTAAATACAGCATTAACAGCCAGTCAACAGAGCAAACTAAAAGACTGTTTTCTTTGTATGAAGCCATATCTGAATTTGACAAGACGGAAATAACTTTTAAACTGAACGAGAGGTGGGAATTATATGATACAAATTTCTGTATTCCGTCCATTTAAAACACTTACAGAACCGATTTTTCAGATTTTCAATGGAAAAAAAATAATTATTTGTTTTCGAAAATTATTACAGTATATATGTTGCATCTAATGAAGACCATTTTGAAACTGCATTAAAACAGAAATGGGAGACATTTGAAAATTTAAAGAAAATTACTTCAATGTCAAGGAACTTTGAAAAACTAACTAAAAGTACTATTAAAGCAAGAAAATTAAGACAAAAGGTATACGAACATCATCAAAACATCTTGGTATGGACAAGAAAGAAACATTTTCCTGCTGTCATTGAGTCTCAACTGATGAAAAAGTTTGATGCCATTAATCCAGACATAACATTTGCACCTGTATGTTTTGACACACCTCAATCTATTGAGACAAACTCAGTTATGATAATTTTTTCTTCTATAAAATTTGAAAAATATGAAGAATACACTAAGATTACCACAAAGGTTCTGCAGAATAAGCATCACCTAAATGCTAGTCAAAGCACCTTCTTGTCACCAGAGACACTTTAAATGGTAAAAGACAGATGTCCAAACAACGGAATTGCACGATTTCATTTGAGGGACGAGTTGCATCATTCAAATATTTCAGTCGGCCAGACAGTCGTTTGATGGAAATGAATTCAATGAACGTGATGCCTGATTTAATCAAATTGTGTTTTGGTAAATAAACTCATCAAAGATACAAGGATTGAAATGTTATATTTACACTAGACGCGCGTTTCGTCTACAAAAGACTCATCAGTGACGATCGAATTAAAAAATATTAAAAAGGCCAAATAAAGTACGAAGTTGAAGAGCATTGAGGACCAAAAATTCCTAAACACCAGACGCGCGTTTAGTCTACAAAAGACTCATCAGTGACGATCGAATTAAAAAATATTAAAAAAGGCCAAATAAAGTACGAAGTTGAAGAGCATTGAGGACTAAAAATTCCTAAACCACTATATTTTCATAACTTTGAATTATTGCAAGAATGGTTTCTAGAGATATTCCACTTGATATACAAATTATTCTGGACAAGTTTATTGATAGAGACTCCCTTTACAGCAGTGGCAACAAGATAGCCTTTTTGCTATCAAAAATGGAAAGGTTTAATGGAGCCTATGACATACTTCTCAATACTTTAAACAATAACTTTATTGGTATACTCCAACAGCATGAACAGGCCAACACCGATGAACTAACAATGCATTTTCAAAGCATAACAACAGTATTTCCCATCGCTAGTAATACAGGTATCTGTACGAGTTTGGTGAATGCAGAAAGAAAGATGAAGGAAAAAGCAACAGACGACCTGTGTTATTACAATACGTGCATGTACTTAAAGAAATTTCCCTTTCATTATCAAACAGCTACAGGTAAAGCAGAAAAGTTAGTAAACCTTGGAGACTGCCACTTCATTCTGATAATGAATAACCTAGTTCGTATGACTTTCTGTTCAGAAACCTAATCCTGGAGAAAATCGATTAGGACAACTTTGTACACTGCCTTTTACCATGCAAGGTTTACCAAAAGACAGTTTAATAACAGATACATGGCATACTAAAGACTGCTGAAGATTGATTGATTGATTGGTTGATTGATTGATTGATTGATTGATTGATTGATTGGTGTTTAACGCCACTTTTAACACTATTGTGCTATTTCTTGGCGGTCAGTTTTTATTGGTTGAGGAAGCCGGAGTGCCCGGAGAGAACCACCGACCTTCTGTAGGAAAACTGACAATCCTAGTCAATTGAGATTGGAGTCGAGTGCACCTGCGGGATTCGAACTCACAACCTCAGTGCTGACTGGTTAGTGATACAGTAGTTGGACTACTTAGACCAGTCGGCCATCGAGACCCCCATACCGAGATACATGGCATACTAAAGACTGCTTAAGAGATCGGAAATGTCAGTGCAAAAAAAGATATTAAACTGCAAAAGAAAGATTTTGATAATGCATTAGTATCCTCAACAAACGAAGAGACAGTTTAGTGGGAAAGATTTTAGAAGCTGTTGACATGGGTTAGTGTACCATTATGGAAAACTAAGAACAAGTATGTTTGGTATATAAAAATAGACATGTTTTGTAGTTATCAATTGAACTCAAGAAAACCTAGACAAAGGATAAGAAATTGTTATAAAAGTCAGTTTTCAATAATGGACCAAAGACATACTGAAGTGCAAACTGTATATCAGAGCCACAAGACATCATATA